ACAGCAATAAACATGTTCTCATCACAATTTACACATAGAGCACGAGTCCCTCGAGGTAATTCATCCTCCTCTTGACAGCTTTAATAAAGGATGATGGATCATTTTAAATTGACAGTTTAGAAGGATCAAAAATCCTCCCCCTCTCCCTGTATTGTTTTGAGCTCCAGTATACGAGAGCCGTTTTGTGTTCTGTGAAAGTTGTATTTGCCTGTAAGCACCGGGGTCTGGTACTTTCCTCCCCACAATGTTGTGAGCTGCTTGATTTCTATAAGAATCTGTTCGTTCTAGGTGGTAGTAGGCACATAAAACACATACCAAGAAGTGACTACAGTTGTGGGGGGCTCATTATGGGGGAAATGTCTAGCTGATTGAATTGTAGCTGCTGGAATCCTCTTCTAAGCTTGTCCAGAGGGGAGCATTGTCACATATATTGGAGTTCTTTGCACCCTACAATAACGCAAGTAGGAGGCAAAGTTGCTGCAGGAGATGCTTCAATTTACAAGAGCATTGGGGTATGCCCCACTGGTCTAGGTCTTCAGTGGTCTGCACCAGCTGAAGACAACGGCTGCGCTGCATTCATTCTTTCCTGACCTGCTTGTCCTAAAAACCAGGCCTGTTCTGTTACTCCCAGATTCTCTCTGGGGTGAATGTATTTCACCAAAAAACAAACAGCTGTACATATCTTAGGTCCTGGTTGTATGAATATAGCATCTGAATCTGCAGCTCTGTTGGAGAATGAAGGGAGGGTGCCCAGAGGAAGAAATGGGAGAGTCGAAGGTACATGGGGCCATAGTGGAAGTTTAGTTCTTCACAATTCCCTCCTCCACCTCCTTTTTATTCTTTTCAAGGCTACAGGACAGCAAATTAGTTCTGGAGGCAGATCTTCCTTCTCATTTCTTTTTGGCATGAGATTTATTTCTCACTGCATGTGCTTTGTGACTGCACTTGGCAGGCTACAGTTTGTTCAGCTGTCCGTTCCCCAGCTAACTGGGGTCTTAAAAACAAACCGGAGAAAGGACATCATGTGAAGACATTGAGAGGCATTTGCTTCTATGCTCTGGTTAAGGCAGCACTGGTCACAAAGGTCCCAATATTTAAAGGGAGAGCGTTTAATACAGCAAGAGTCAGAGTAAGAAAATATGACTTTCATGGATCTACAATTAGGCTCCTAGGGTTCTAGTCTCAATGCAAGGGGGTGACTGAATGATGTACAACCAAGGGCCTGCTGAAAATCTGCTGGAGCACAAAGACCACACCTAATTCACAGGTCACAGCTGCCCTAAATGTTCACCTGGAGCTAAGGCTGATTATGAGCTGCAACCTGAAATACTCTATAGAGCCTGCCAGCTTGCATCATGAGCTGCCTCTGTGTGTTAGAGGCAGCTTAGGGTCAGAGCTGTAACCAGCCCTGGGAGCAAGCATGGCTGCAAAAATTAGGAGGCAAACTTAATGGATTAAAGAAGGAACTCCCTGAAGAGTCTGTACGCTGGACTTGAAATAATTCTTCAGGACCATCTTGAAGACAGGAAGCAGCAAAATCTTCTATTTCGCCATTACTACTTCTCCTACCAGATGCCAAATCGTGAAGGGCTTTCCTTTCTCTTGCCACACCCAGCAACAAAATACATTGCATCAAAATTAATTCTCTCTACGGGTGGCTAGCTTGTGCTCCAGACATAAATCAAAGAGAATCATACAAATGTGAGCCACAAAGCATCCATGCCTCCAAGACTGTGCAATGATTCCATCGGCTGTAAACTTGGGAGTCTTTGCATAGTGTCTTGATGGGGACCAGAATAGCAAACTTCATCCTAAAATAACTTTGCACTTGGTCCACCAAGACCAAGATTCAAGGACACAGTTGCACAGTAAATGTTGTGTATGCCCACTCACCTATATGAACAACTGATAGGATGCACAACTAGAGGTATTAATTTTCATGAGAAGATTTCAGGAAGAGGTTTTGGAAGTTCTATCCTGATATATTTTGTAATACTGTAAATCATTTTATACAATGTCCCAAGTTGCAAACTTCCTTTGAATTACTGTTTGCCAGCTTCAGTGTGCTACTACTTCCAGCTCCATTTATATATTTTTAAAGTGGATTTGGTAGTTACCTTTGCATGCCTTTCACTAAGCAATATTCAATAGGAGCCCAAATTATGACACCAGAAGCCATTTTGTAGTTTCCACGGATTTGTGACATGGTGCTTTATGGCACCAAACTGGCAGGAGAAATGTACTTTTCCTCCTGTTGTGTTACTTGCATTCTAGGAATTTTGTTATATGCAAACATGATGTTATTTTCTTTAGGCACATCAGGGATTTACCAAGGAGCCAATGGCCTTGCTAATTCTGCAGGATTCAGCACTGTGCATCAGGTATGTTCTCAACAATTATCAGGACTATTCCTGGCCTTTATTTAAACACCCCAAATAAGAGAGATTCTCCTAATATTCACATATATTAGATTTCTTAAAATGTAGATCTGTTCACAGATACCCTAAATTATTTCTAGCGATACCTGGCCTAGCAATTGTCGTAACATAAGTTTGTTTTGGTTAAACACACGTATCCATGTGGACACACCAGTGGCTTGGCAGGGGTCTTTGCAACAGAACACAGACACAACTCTCTCCCTCCTCTGGCATTCCCTTCTCTGGAGCACTAGTTTGATTACAATGTTGAAAATATGCTTGTGGGAACCCAGGGTATCATATTAACAGCTTTTTTTTAAGTAAAGTTTTCCATCAGCTACAAAATGCTCCTCCGTTACACCCTCTTCCTCTGCTCTCTTGTCTTTATGTAATAAATGTGGAATAAACAATGTAGAACTGTACTACACAGAGCCTGCTGAATAATGAGCCACCTAAGCCATCTGTACTCCTTCTTATTTGGGTACAGACCTATTTATGGACATCATAACTTGCACTTGTTGCCACCATTTTACATGCATGTACGTGTGCCCGCAAAATCACACTGCGTATAAGACACCAAGACTACTTAATAGTAAAGACTGTAAGAACTACTCTTAGTTGCGTCTTTCATGAAGACATGGGAAGCAAGTCTTTTTGCAGCCGTGCCCTGTTCATTTCCAGTTCCTTCCCCACATGGAAGTTGCTATAATCCTCATGACAACAGCAGGTTATTTCATTATTATTTCATTTTCAGTTTAAGGATTTGCGATTTAGTAGAGACAAATAGAAGTAAAATAAAATATTTTAACTTGTGCCTCCAGTATTTTTGTGATGGATTTTAAAAGTTTATTTTCCATCTTTTTTTTTATACTGGAAACTTGGGTTTTACCCATTACTGAGAACTGTGTGGTGACTGACAACTATTCAGGTTTTCACAACAGATTAAAACTTGAACAATTGAGAGGACAACTGACTTCTGGCTAACACTTCTCTTAACACCAATGGCTATGGCAAACAAAGTGTTTATTAACAAGGGAAAGGTGTAATACAGGGGTAGGCAACCCCTGGCATGGGTGCCAGAGCTTGGAACACAAAGGCAGTTTGCTTGGCACGCACCCCTCTGGGCAGATGGTGGGGAAGGGGCTGGAACAGCACTGCCACAACAAGGATCAGGCACCTTGTGGGTCCCCTGCTGTCTGCCCTGGTATGCCATCTTGTAAATTGAGGTTGAGAGTCTTTTTGGCACTCTGCTCCAAAACGTTATTAACTCCTGGTGTAATCCACAAGGTTAAATGGTGAGAGTTCACAGGATACACCTTTGAAACCCCTAAAAAGTCCTCTAAAAAAAATCTGAGCAGGTCAGGCTTGGCATGGCATTCCAATTTTTTTTAAACAAACAAACAAACAGAGTTGGGGGGGGGAGGGAAGCATATGCATGTACAAAGGGGAAAAAAGTTAAATAATTCAGCCTCCTAGTAATCCTTTGTAGCATGAAGAAACAAAAAAACCCATCCCTGAATTAAGCTTAAGAAAACCTTGGTAAGCCACCTTTATTCCATGATTACAAGTCTCAGGACCTGGAGTGCCCACATCTGAACTACCTTTCAACAAAAAGTTGTTCTTTTTAAATTCCTTATTCTGGAACCTCTATTCACTCTCCCAAAATGAGGACTGCACTACCGATAATAGCCAAATCATTCTATCAGCAAGTGCCCCAGCATGCTAGATTGGGCCTTACAGGTCATTGACATGTGCTTCCCTAAACCATGAGTGTATGCACGCTGCAGTATCTCTCCATTCATAAAAAATTAAATGAGTAGGTCAGGGACTAAAATTTACAATGCCCCCCCCACCCCACATTTACATTTTATTGTACGTTTCAATATCTCACCTCACAAGGAAGGAACAGAGACTCAAACTAAAGGATTGGTATGAAATGCCTATGGATTCCTGAAAAGCAAAAGACAGATGGAAGGTATTTACTAGTATGTTAGACCTTCCAGCCTTGACACTGTCCCATTTAATTAATCTATGTGTCTTATCAAATCTTAGAGTACAGCGAATAATATAACTTATTCATCCCTCACTAAGAGGCTCAGACATTGAATCAGTCAGACATGAGCGACTAGTGCCTCCCGATTTTGGGGGTCTCCCAACGGCTGGTCACTGAGTGCACCGCCAGCACTTTCGCCACCACCGCGCCGCTGGCAGAACCAATTTCGGGGGGGGGCACCAGCCAAAGCACTCACTGTCAGGGGAGCACATGCCCCTCCTTATGCTTCACCTATGCAGTCAGAGGGGCTTGGGGCAGAAATTACACACAAACCGGTATAAGTGATCGGAAACCAGTTCAAACCTGTAACACAACAGAATTTCAGAGTACATAAACCTCTTTCAAAATGGCCAAAACTGGTTTAAGACAAACCTGGATGGATGTAGCATCAGAATTAACTGATTTAGGTTGAATTAGTTAATTGAACTTCTGTTCCAGATCCCCTCCAGATTCAAGTTAACTCACAGTCCCCCAGCCTCCCAGGATGTTTTATGCCTCTCTCACAAGCCTCACCTCACAGGGTGGGCTGGCTAGACTTGGCCCGAGCTGTCTGCTCCAGCCAAGCAGAGAGGAGTGCTCTAGCACACAGGTTCCCAACCTTTTTATCCTGAGGAATGGCAAACCGTGCACCAGAAGTGACTGTGGACCAGCAAATTGGATCAGCAGTGACCAGCATACCGAGTTTCATAGTTGGTAGGGTCGGAAGGGACCTGAGCAGATCATCAAGTCCGACCCCCTGCCATGGTCAGGAAAGAGTACTGGGATCAAACAACCCCGGCAAGGTGATTAATCTAGCCTCCTTTTGAAGACCCCCAGAGTAGGAGCAAGCACAACTTCCCTTGAAAGTTGGTTCCAGATCCTAGCCACCCTGACTGTGAAGTAGTGCTTCCTGATGTCTAGCCTGAACCTATTCTTAGTCAACTTACGGCCATTATTCCTAGTTACTCCTGGTAGTGCTCGGGGGAACAGGGTCTCTCCCATTCCCTGCTAGTCCCCCTTGGTAAGTTTATAGACAGCCACCAGACCCCCTCTCAGTCTTCTGTTATGGAGGCTGAACAGGTTCAGGTCCCATAGCCTCCCCTCACAGGGCCTGCCCTGCTGTCCCCTGATCATGTGAGTGGCCCTCCTCTGGACCCTCTCGTTGCCGGCCACATCCCTCCTGAAGTGCAGCGCCCAGAACTGTAGCCTGACCAATGTCACATAGAGGGGGAGGATAGCTGCCAGTCCGCAGTATGCTGGTCACTTCCAGTCCACAGTTTGCCAGTTTACAGTTGCTTCCAGTCTGGCAGCCAACCCTCCTGCAGACCAGCAGCCAACCCTTCATGGCCCAGCGGTTGGAAATGCCTGCTCTAGTGCCCTTCAGCTTCTGGCCTGAACCACTGCAGGCATGTGGCTGCATTCCTGGAGTCAAAAGTGAATGTCTGTTTACTTAGTTATCAGTTCAGTCTACGCAGCTTAGGCTAACCTGCAAAGATTGAACCAATTCAGCCTCAGGCTTTTTGACTGTCTGTACTTAGCCAGGGACTCACTTTGTTGAGGTCAGTTAGGTCCAAGGTTGCTTGCAATGTTTGTTTCCTAGATATGGCATTTCAGTGAGCTGGAAAGTGATTATTGTTACATTTTACCTAGATAGTTAAACTTTGGGAAAGGTACATCATTTAAAGATTTGTTCATTAGCCACAGTGGCTAGAAAATTTCAGGTGCTTGGAAATTTCTGCAAAATGTTTATTAGTTTTTCTTCTTCTGTTTTGTAATTAGTGTTACAGCTGTTCAGAAATCTATGGATAATCATGAGGCTGAGAGAGAGTGCAAACGTTTATACTTTCCTCCCCCTTCATTTTTTGTAACCTCCTTCTTTTACATTTCTTTTAAGGAAATTATTTACAGTGACGCTCAAACTTGCTGCTGCCCGTTTTGAGAAACTAATCCACAATACTCCCCTACACAAAGTTACTGCACCTGTACTCAAAAATGATGAGTGAATATGACAAAAAGGCAAAAGTTCTTTGGAAGAAGTATCTAGGAGCTCTGGGTATCTGTATGCCTAACTGAGAGCTGTGAGACCAACATCTGCTGAACCTATTAGCTTGCCTATTTGTTTTTTTAGGTACAAAGCCTGTGATACAGAATGGTTACTCACTGTCTCTCTCTTTCCCCCTGAAGGAATACTCATCCTATCCGAGCTTTCCTCAAAGCCAGTACTCACAGTACTACAGCTCTTCTTACAACTCTCCATATGTATCGGCAAACAGTATCAGTCCAACAGCTATCCCAACATCCACTTACTCTCTGCAAGAATCTTCACACAACATCACCAGTCAGAGCACAGAACCACTGTCTGGTAGGTCTAGCCATGCTGTTGTTTAAAACCAAACTGCAGTTTTGCAAGCTCAGTCATCTGGGCAGAAATACTGCAAATTTGCTATCAGATTTTTTAAATGTATTTGTTAACACCAAAAAATAATTGAGTTCACAGCACAGTTTTATTTATAAATCTGCAGTTTTTCATATGTAGTACTGTGCCAGCAGCAAAATGTGACTTCAGGTTTAGGGAAGACGCACAGATTTAGAGAAAAAAATCAGAAATTGTAAGCCCTATAAAGAGAGTTTATATTGCTTTTGTGAGTATTTCTACATTTTTTTTGTTTCAAATATATTCCTGATTGAGTGGTTTGATGTCCTTCCATAAAAGCTAACACAGAAAAATACAGATATTACTTCTGACGTACACATAACAGTAGCATTAATAGGTCACTGGTAGTAGCAATAAGCTCTAACCAAAATACCAATAAGCCCAATTATTGAAAATTTCAAGATTTACAGTCCATACTTGGTTTTTAAGCAAGTCTCTAACAGCTCCCTCTAATACCTAAATTCACAAATAATTATGTTAAAAGAATTTAAGAACTTGTCTCCCCGACAGCAACAAAAATTCAACAGAAAAGTTGAACTTAATGACAATTATGGATGCCACAAAAAGGTACCACTACCTTTGACATTATCCAGGAATCTCCTAGAGTGCTTAGTTCTTAAACTCTGAGGGCTCAAGTGGTTTCTGGAATTACTGACAAGTTGTTATCCTCCTGTACTATCTGAATGCAGTCTTCAAATGTCACTTCATTGGTAAAATTTTCATTGGCATGCAATAACATTTATATAAAATACCACATAATATGTGGATGATCACAATATACACCCATTGTATGGTCAGTTGACTTATGAAACAGAACTGAACATCTGTGCTTGTTCAAAAAGAAAAATAAACTAATACAGGTTTGGAAAAAAGAGAGAGATTGCAGATGGCTCTAAAAGTAGTTGGAGGATTTTCTGTTCCTTAGATCTTATCTCAGCCTTTTCAAGAAAGAGTGGTTTAAAAAGGTTTGATGAACAACCCTAGAGATAGGAGGATTGAGAAGCTACAAGTTAGCAAGGTAAAAAGAAAAATGTTTAAAGATTTGTCATTTAAGGGAAATGATCTCAAGAGGAGTTTATGAAAGTGAATCCTATCAACATTGAAACGTTACATTGTATTGACTTACACTTTGCCAGTGCTCTGAAACTGTTGCCTTCTCTTAAACAGCTAAACTAAATTAAAAGGCACACTTATTTAGAAGCATCGTAGAGCTGCATATATTTATGTGTACTTGTTGAAAAACATCCTTTTTGATAAAGACAATTCACTAAACATATCTTGGTAATTTTGCTTTTTTTCTTCTTAAAACCTGAATCATAATTTCTTTCCTTCCTCCCACTCCAGCTTTTCCAGGGAGAGAGGTGAAAAAGAAGGAAGAAAATACTTTTTAAAAAAATACACAAAAGCAAGTTTAATATATAATAAACATGGTAGAAAAAAATCTCTTCATATATTTTTTTTTGCAGAAGTGACCTAAATAAGTGATGTTTGTTCCAAAGGTTTTGTGTTAGAATTTTTATATGAAGTGATGATTTTTTTAAAAAGGAAGATACCCTTTTACAAATTTCACAATTCAGTTGTTTTGGTTTGTTTTTAAATGATTGTAAACTCTTTTGAATTTTTGACCAGCTCGAACACAAAACCTTTGGAACAAACATCGCTTATTTGGGTCAGTGGTCTCCAACCTTTTTATGGTGAAGATCACTTTTTGGCATCCCTCTCCCCACCCCCCTGGACAAGTTTCCCCAGTTCTGAGCCCACTCACCTAGCCCAGCCCGAGCAGCAGGGTCATGGCTCAGCCCAGTCACGTGCCTCCTGCCACTCCCGATCATGGAGCCTCAACTGTCAGAGGCTCCACGATCGACCAGTCGATTTAATAGATTTCATAGACAATTCGGGCTGCAAGGGACTCCGGAGGATCATCGAGTCCAGCCCTGATCAGGATCAACTGGTTGGTGACCACTGATTTAGGTCATTTCTGCAAAAATATTTGTCCCTACCACCATGAAGAGAATTTTTTTTCACCATGTTGCTACTTGTGTAAATTTAAAGGTTTTGCAGCTTTAATTATTCTAGTATAATTAAAGCAACTATTCTCCGTTCCCCCCCATCCCCTCCCTCCTCCTGCAGTACAAGCACTGTTATACTACTATAGAAGTGCTTATACTGTTTAGGAAATTAAAAAAACCCCAAAAGTTGACAGCCAAATTACTACTTTTATACTGACATAACCACATGTGCACTGGAACTCTTTGGCATAAACAGATATCATTTTTGGAGTGCATTGGCTGGGCTGGGATGTGTCCTGACACAGCTGATCTGCTTCACTGGTGTCCATAGGCTTCTCTGGGACCATTGTCCTGCAGGTGGGGTCTCTGCCACTCCAGGTCTTTATGGGCCTGATCTTGTGGGATGATGGCCATAGGCCAACTCGGGGTATGGCAGCATGATGCACACACTGCAGGGGGATTCTCATGGTATGCACCTACAAACGTGGAGGGGGGCAGTCCCATAGGGGCTCCCCTCTTCATGCTTGTAGAACATGTCCTTACTAGAGGTTCAGCAATGAAAAATGCATGCCCCAGAAATCTTGAAGGCATATAGGATTGGGCTTCTGAAACCTTGGAAATGCCTGCCTGAGGTGGCTGAAGAGCAGAGAAAGCCCTGGGCTGCCTGCACTCTGCCACCATAAGATGTTGGCCACAAAAAGGCGGCACAAACAGTGACTAGGAATCCCTGTGCTCACAAATGTGGGCATTTGTGGCACAATAAAGGGCAAAGAAGTCTGTTCACTTGGGTTTTATGCTGCCAAATTTTTTTTATAGCAGGCAAAGTCCATTTGCAGCCTGCCTTACGCACATGTTTCAGAAACACTTACTCCCTTACTGAGCATACCTAGTTTGGTGAAATTCTTACTGTGTAGGCCAGGTTTTGGAAGTGTGGGCATTGCACTGGGTGGGTACTTGGAGGGGCATATTTTCCCACCTGAGACTGCAGTGTGTGGAGGTGCAGCATCTTGAGAGACTTTCCATGAATCAGTGTTATTCCATCTGTCATACCTTTGCCTTAACATAGTTTTCTTGTATTAAAAGAAACACTTGCAAAGGGGAATAGATAGTGAAACTTAGGCTTTTACTGGCATGCCTTTTCTCACAACAGGGGAATATGCAGCAACACCCGTAAAAGATATAGAAGCAGACAGGCAGCACCGAGCATCTGACGGAAAGGTACGAGGCCGATCAAAAAGAAGCAATGATCCTTCCCCCACTGCTGACAGTGAGATTGAGGTAACAGTGCTAATTCCTTGTTTGTTAATAAATCCAGCCATGAAAAACCGTGGCACTGATTTGCGAATAATTGACTAGAGAATGATCAGAGCAAAAATGATATTAGCTAGACATTTGGATCTATAACCACAGTTAGTCAGTTTAAAAAAAAAAAATCTGTGGACAAAATTCTGGACTTTGACATCTTTTGATTCTGTTGTTCTGTTCTCCTGGTAAGTTAAGTCATTGATATTTCCATGCGTGCTGGGGCAGCAGGCCGACAGAACTGATATTCCTGCGTGCCTTTCTAAGAACTGATTCTTCTTTTTTTATTTTTACCAACTTTAAAGAGGCATCACTGATTGAAGTAGGCTTTTCTTTTTTATCATAAAAGATGTATTCAAGTAAAATCTTTTCCTAATTGCATGCAGTCCCGCAAACACTTAATGTATGGATGTATTTGTCTCTCTTTCACCCCCACCCTTCTTTCATTACAGCGTGTGTTTGTGTGGGATTTGGACGAGACGATAATTATTTTTCACTCCTTGCTCACAGGAACCTTCGCATCCAGATATGGGAAGGTAAAATTTTAAATAATCTCTTTTAACATTACTGTTTGTCCAATTGCAATGGGTATTGTGGGGGGCTGTTAATAAGGCATCTTTTCAAACAGATGCTCCTGTTATGCTCAGACAAATTTTGCACTATAAGTCTTGTAGTATTTCCCTCAAACATGTGAAAATTTAATTTAGGTTTCCCATCATATTGTGTGTAGACCCTTTTCTTCAAAAGCTTGCATTGTTCAGTTGCTAATAGACAGGACACTGAACTGTTGTTCTTTCAAAGACATGTCTCCTAGGAAAATCAGTTTATCCAGCAGGTGGGAAATAGTAAGTCTAGCCTGAACAAGGTAATGTTTTTCTGTTGGTCTATTGTTTTCATAAGAATCACAGAGTAATATAAGAGAAAAACCCCAATATATATATTTTCTCGAGAGACCTTTTCCTTTGGCCAACCCACATACAGCACTGTATCTTCCAACCATTTACCTTAAATAGCCAACTGAGACCAGATATTTTTTAAGGCATTTAAGAACCTGGTGGTATTTTCACCCTTGGCATACTAGCTACTTCTCTGCTTCATTAGGTACCTAAATACCTTGGAAAATCTGTCCCCCAAACTGATTATGTCATGTATGTCAGGAATCTGTTCTGTAAGTATTAGAGGAAACTTTGAAGTACTTGACCTTGGCTGCTGTGGAATTCTGAAAACATGGTACTTGTATTTAGAGTTTTGTGGTTTTTTAGGTATATGGCGGTTCCCTTATTTATAATAGTTTGATCACTTCGAGTTACATCATGCCAAACATTTTTAAATGAGGAGGAATAAAGACAATACCATTACCTAATTTAAGGTTGATGACCTATTTGGCAGCTGTTTCTGCACATAGCTTTAAACACTGCAGCTTCATGAAGAGATTGGAAAATAATCCTGCTTCTCTTTAGCAAGTAGAAATATGATTTGACATCATTTTATGGCTTTACCAGCTGTAGTTGTTTTATGACGGTTATAACAAGCTGGATGTGTAATTAGTGAGAGAGATTTATTGTCCACTGTTAGATGTGCACAGTTGTAAAGGATATAAAATGGTGTTTGTGGTGCAGAAATCCACTGCAGCATGTGGAATACCAATAACACTTTTAACAGCACCCTCTGAAAATCAAGCACACATTTCCAAGCAGGGATTTGTTCAGGCCTATGTTGTACAAAATAATTGAAATGGTTACTTTTCCTACTGAACATAATGAATGAGACAGTTTGCAGCAGACACTGTGTAAACTCTCGCCTTGTTGTATGTAAAAAATAGAAAAGGAACAGGCAGGATAAGGAAAAATAAACTTATGCAGAATAGGCCTGCTGTGCAATCACACTTAGCACTGAGTTTGGCTATTAATAGTTGATGAAGAATTCCTGTTCTGTCTTGGCAAAAGAAGTGTGCAAGTGGATGGGAGGAGGGGATGGTTGGGGAAAGAGCAGTACTGGAGAAAGGTGAGTCGTAGTCCCCCTTACTTAGCCTCTCTGGCCCCAATACTCTTCCATTCCTTTATAATGCTGTAGCTTCAACAGCAGGTAGAAAGA